TCCTCTCTCTCTATATATATATACATATATACGTCCTGCTTTGTCTCTTGCTGTCTATGCTGTCTATGGCGAATGGATGCGGCGTGGCCAATTTGATACTGTCTTTTGCCACCCTAGGATCTGCTTGGAGATCAGAGAATGACCGCCAGGCTATGTTTGTGTTAGTTGAGTGTCGGTGCTTGAGAAAGCCCGCGGCAGTTGAATGGCGGCTTGGCACGGAAGGACCATCTATTCCCGCGCGCTGACGCACGTAAACACGGCCCCGCGTGCAGTCAGATTATTTGGTTTTATTCATTTATTTTTGTATGAAACTTACTGTCCCTTGGGTGAACTAGGAAAGTGTGAGCTTTACAGTTTCCGACACGTTCAAAGTTAAGTTTATTCTACTGAGTGAGTACATAAACTGAACCCGACGGGAAAAATTTAATGTGCCATTAGATTATGAATATGATGATATACATTTTACAGATGCTATTAACAAAAGAAGTCCGAGCATTTTCCTATGTAGTACATGTAGTTCCTATGTCTTGTTTTTGCCCCCCCCCCTCCCCATTTTCACCTTCAATTAGGTAGAGCAACATTTATATGCCATTCCTACAAAATACGTGGTCTACAGGTTTGTTTCATATCTCACAGCTGTTATTGCGATTCTTGTTTCATATATTGATATTTACACGCTACTAAGCCTAAAGGTTCAATGTGCTGTTTACTGTGCCTGACATCGTTTCCTATGTTTCAATACATAATACATGTTAACTTTGTGTTACATTGCTGCATGTATATTCCTTTGTTTGTTCCGGTCCTTGGGAAGAAATAAAGTTCAAGGTTGTCCGTTTCCTACTCCCTACAGCCTCCCCGATAGGTTAGGGATTTACACCGAGCCTTGCGACAAAATCCCTCTAATTCTCGCGTGACAAAACGAGATCAACTCCAAGGCGGAGACAGTCCTTTAGCGAGCAGGCTGGCTGGAAGTTTTAGCCAAATAAGGAAAATCGCACTCCCGCCGACTTTAGGTTTCTAGGAATGACTGTCCGCATACGAAGCCAGTATTATTATTCCAACACGTTAGTTTGTGTCTAGGGGCAACCAAACCTGTTAACCTTTAAGATATCTTAGCTGCTAGTCTCTTGTTTCTTACAAAAGACTCAAGAACATGCAAGTGTCGCTACAGAAGAAAAGAAGGGCTCAAGACGGGAGAAGTTAAGAAACAAATTTGTTTGTCCTTGTTGCATAACAGGTGAACTGACTTAAGGCATAACACACCAAGTTTATATGATTGGTAAGGTTTGATAAACTCACATTCATGTACACGGGGATTGACTCCTACATGTACATGGTTCTCTGTAATTGCATATTTAGACTTCTACATCTTTATTCAAGTCCTTCTCAAAACAGCATCTCCCTGTGTTTTTGAGATAATAATCTTAAACTTAAGATTATGTTTCTTTACTTAAGATTAAAATTAAGATTGAGATGTTGAGGATTAGCCGTTGAACCATTTTGAACTTCCAGAATCCTCCCCGACCAGTTTTTCCCGTGTCTCTAAAATTAGGATTAAGACTAAGATGTAAGATTAGCCGTTGAACCATTTGGATTTCTTAATCTGACTTCCGGATCCAGAATCCTTCCCAACCAGTTGTGTCTTCAAGATTAGGATTAAGATTGAGATCTAAGATTATCCGTTGAACCATTTGGATTTCTTCATCTGACTTCCCGAATCCTTGCCGAACAGTTTCTGCTTGTACCTGTCCACCAGGAGGTCAAACTTCGCCTCTTCCTTCCGCTCAGTCTTGTTGGAACGTCTGGACTGCTGGGGAGGGGTCTGGAGAGGAGGGTTTGAGCCTTAGACATCACACTTAGTAAATATAATATAGGTGAAAATCAAGGATTTTGCCATAATTTTGATTCAATATTTGGTATGCAAGCGTCTAGAATTGTTAATATCAAGCTATTCAGCACTACAGTACAAACTGAAAGGGCAGCTAAACTTAAGATTGAAAAGCATACATTCATATCATGCTGAATATATCCTTAAGTCAAGTTTTATCCTATTTTACAACAGTTCATCGTAGTGTATGCAACACAGGTAAGAAATTGACTTTAGTGAAGGGTACGTTTAGTGTTATATGGCATGCTTTTCACTTTTAAGACTAACTCCCCTTAATTAAAAAAAACGCCCACAGGAAACACCCTCTCCTCATTACTCACCTGCTGTAGTGGTTCTTTATTTTGTCTTCTAAACCTTCAAAGACTTTCCCCACACTTTAATTGTTGTGGCCTTACCTGTCCTCCTCCTACTCTGCCCTGCTGTAGTGGTTGTTGTTTTGTCTTGTTCAGGCCACTCTTAGGTCTCGGCTTCTTCACAGTCTGCTGCACAACCTTACCACGGTCCCTCTGTCTCACCTGTACATGATGTAAATAACACATTTTGAGAGAGAGAGAGAGAGAGGGAGAGGGAGGGAGAGGGAGAGAGGGGAGAGAGAGAGAAAGGGAGACGGAGAGAGAGATAGGGAGTGAGAGAGAGGAGAGAGGAGAGAGGGAGAGGGAGAGAGAGAAAGAGGAGAGAGAAAGAAAGAGAAAGAGAGAAAGCGAGTGAGTGTGAGAGTGAGAGAGAGAGGAGAGAAAGAGAGAGAGAAAGAGAGAGAGAGAGAGAAAGAGAGAGATACTATATAGATAGATATACAGACCTTTGGCCCTGAGTGTGAGGGGAGTCCCTTTGTTCCCCTAACTGCCTTCACCCCACTCTGCAGATTGGACACGTCCAAACCTCCGAGTCCTTCCAGTTTCTCCTGCTGGATTTTCTCCCTCCGCTGCTGCTGTCTCAGTTTCCTCTTCTGTTTCCTGCTCAGGGTCGGCTGCCCGCTGTTTAGTGTTTTTGTGTAGAAAGACCTCCATTAGTGACAGTACATGTACACACACGCAGGCATGCATGCACGTACTCATGCATACACACACACACACATGCACATGCACACACACACACACGCAAACACACACACGCACACACACACACGCTCACACACACGCGCGCACACACACGCACAGACACGCACACACACACAGACACGCACACACACGCACACACACGCGTGACATACACATTATATTAGATTCCAGTACACAATGTATACTTTCTTCAATTGACTACTATACCAGTTCTGTATATTAATGCTATTTGTGTCCATTTATGCTTTCAGTGTGTCTTTGATAAGCGTTTTGAATGAGGAAGGTACAGATGTTCTGACATGATCTGGAAGAGTATTGTACGATTTAGAGCACCTGTTTTCTGCCGTGGGTTGAGTCGGTTTGTTGATGTTAGGTTTGTTTCTGCCGTTTCTCTCTGGTTCTGGCTTTTTGCTGCCCTTTGCTGCAGCTTGCCGTGCCTGAAAAAACAACAGGTAAAGGTGTAAAAATAACTACGAATTCTCTGTTTCTGGACCCAATGAAGTATAAAAGAAGTAGTACCAATGGTTTCAGAACAGTTTTCAGTACATGTATGATCCATATTTCCTAAATTCTGAGTTGTGCAGGTAAAATTTGTCTGGTGCTGCAAATTTTGTATGTATGATACCATGCTAACATTTTCTTACAAAGTGCAGAGAAGGAGTGCAAAGTATAAGTCTTAGCATCTCACAGCTTTAGCCTTGGCTAGTCTCATCTCCTGTTTCTTGAGGGCCAGTTTGTTCTCCAAAGAAAACTCTACAATCAGCCTCTGAAATAAGAAAACAACAAGTTAGTGGTCGGTGGATCAAACAACAAATGTCACTGATATATACATGATCTTTACAACCTACAGATGTATATTACAAAGTCACAAAAGCTAAAATTAAATATATTGTACAAAACATTCAGCTGAAATTCAGTGAAAGAATTTAATCTTTGTCATCATTATTGAATGGGTGCTTAGTAGAATACATCAAGTTTGTAGTTCTATGATATAACCACTTTGTTAAACTAAGATCCCTTAAAATTTGGTGTGATTTTTCATGCTGCTAGGACAAAGTTATCAGAAAGTACATGCTTTCCTCTGAAAGATGGCTTGCACAAAAGTATTATTATAATAATAGCCTCTACCACACATACATGTAAAAATAAAACCAGTCCCAGGACTTACCCTTCCATCTGGGAGAAGTTTTGGGTTGTTGTTGGTTTCCCGTAGTGCCCGTAGCGCGTGCTCGTGTTGGGAGAACGTGACGAACCCGTAGCCTCGAGACTTCCCCACACCCTGACTGTTCACATTCTTCAGGTCACGCATGACTCTGGACTGTGGAGAACACATTGGGGTGTAAGGCCACACCAATTTAATTTCTTGGTTAACGGATTTTTCTAGATAAATAATGGAGCGGGCGGGCAAAAAAAAATTAAAATAAAAACAGGCGCAGGCATCCTATTATGGTCCAAAATGGTACAATAGGAGCCATGAAGTCAACACACCAGGCTGATTCAAAATTTAAACAATGAATTTTGAACTTTTAACGATACCATTGCATTGAAAGATGGAATAACTGTAACAACTAGGACGAAAAGGGACTGTTTTCAACTGTTCAGGGCAAAATATGAGCATTTTGCAGTTGATTCTGAATTTTTATTTTTATTTGCAAATCAGAAAAAAACGAAGCGGGCGAATCCGTTAACCAAGAAATTAAATTGGTGTGGCCTAATCCAGTATAGAATTGGTAGTATATTAAGATTGTATATTTGTATATATTGTGCATATTGATGTATATTTGACATATTGTGCATAATATTATGTGGCCCATGAGTATTGTATCTTTTAGCAATTTCAATTTCAATAAATCAAATCAAACTTCTATCAACGCAGATGAACTTTCAAGATAAACCTTGGCATGTATCATTTTTCTAAGACTTCCTACCTCTGTGATGTAGACATTTTTGTCCCCCAGAGTTTTTAGGTACAGCCTGCGCAGGTCTTTGTCCCCCATGTTGAGTGGAATGTTCCGCACACACAGTCGAACGTCTGACACGAAGATGGCCGGATTCTTCAACTTTTCTCGCTTGATCTTCTCAACCTGAGGAAGAAATCAAAGATGTTGTCAAGTTACATCTAAGATCTTTGCTTTAATACAACAGTACAACTTACAGATACATGTGACAGTTCTCACAATGCAGGACGTACACATACTGCACCTGCGCGAAACCCGTAATGTATTGTGCATGGCACTTCTGCAGAACGTCTCATATAACTTATCATAAGGTCGTATTCACGCATATAAGGTTAACACTCCTGTAGTTTCTAAGTGCTACGTCGGAAATGATATTGTCTGCAACAGGCAAAAGTCTGATGCAACGTTGACCAAAAAGCCAACAAATAAATAAACTTGAAACAACAAAAACTGTGAGAAATGGGAGATTTGCACAGGCACAATACGTTCTGCCGATGTGGTACTGTTTACGATATTGTACTAGTATGGTTCTACAATGTTTTTACCTTCTGTCTCATGGCAAGGTCCTTTTCTGTCAGGCCTGCAGCTGCCTGGGTGCCTGGCCGGATCACTGGTGAACAGACAACAGAAGTGTAAACTGGATATAGGAGTTTTCTTTTACACAACCGAACTATTCCTAGCTTGCTTACATTGTGGTGTCTACTAGACACCTTTCTCAGAGCAGTACTTTTATGTTCGCAGTTTTTGCAGTCACTTCTGTACTGCAAATGTATCATTACTGTGACTTCCTTGAGCATATAGGTCCGTGAACATGTCCATTGTTATCAGACTGCGAACATAAAGTGAATCACAGTACTAAAAACTGAAAGAGCCCATCCTTACACCCCTCCCATCACTCAGGTGATAAAGCTAGAAAAGGTTGATCAGCTCTAAATATTTATGTCCCTTGCAGGGTTCACAAAAAAAGGCTAGGGTCAACAGTTTTTTCGAGGGTAGGCCAGGAAAAAGGCAACAGAACATTTTTTTCTAGGCCTCAAAATTATTTTCCTAAAAACATCCTTACAGCCTTCCCTGGCCAGGTACAGGTTTCTCTTGTCGGTTGGTTTCTTCTCCTTCTTGTCGTCGGCCAGTTTCTGTGCCTGTTGTCTGGACACTGCGATGCTGACAGTCAGTCTGCGGCCGGCCAGGCTCAAACCTTCGGTCTGCGTGGAGAAAAGTGGGATGGATCAAAATGGATCAACAGTATAAACAGCAAGGGGTGGGTTCAGAAGACCCCCCCCCCCACAAGGCTCAAAGGTCCACTCCTTATCTAAAAGTCCATTTTTCTGTAAAGGTTGGACTGATTCGTATCAGCAGTGGGACTGGGATCGTAGAAAAACTGCTTACTTTGTGATTCAATAAAAAGTTGTTCAGCTGACAAATGCCCCACTCTGAAATGCCACCTAGGGACTGTATTAAGTACTGCAGCAAATTTGCCACCAGAGATCCAAACCTAAAAACATTACTACCTGTAACAGAAATTTAGATGATACAACTACATGTACAGATTTACCTATGTTAGACCTTATGATTTTAGTAACCAAAAGTAGAATTTTACAATTTGTTTATTTTTATCTTGTTTGTATCTTAATAAAAAGTCCTTATATATATATGTGGGGTCGTGTGGCGCAGTCGGTAGCGCGTTCGGCTCACACCCCAGAGGTTGTGGGTTCGAACCCCACCCGTGTCACCGATCTTGTGCCCTTGGGAAAGGCACTTTACATACATACATACATACATACATACATACATACATACATATATATATATATATATATATATATATATATATATATATATATATATATATATATATATGAAGGTTGCTGTAATTCTGTTATGTCTGTAGCCTAAATAAAGCTTTTCCTCTGTACTAGCATACTCACGGTTGCCTGTTGTACACACTTCTCTGCTGCTTCTTTGGAGTCAAACTGAACAAACGCTGTACCTGTACAGGCAAGCAAAACACAACACAGTCAACATTTGCTTGCAATACAGTATGTGTCTAATTCAATCTACTGTTCATCATGGCATTGAAATACTGTATATGTAAAAATAAGTGTAATATGGTGAATTTTTCTGGACTTTGATGATAACACCTTAGGGGACAATTTAATTCAAAACATTGCACATCACCATCAGGCTGGCTACACTAGCTGAAAAATACATGTACAGTAGTAGTAAAATTTAGATTTAGTCAACAACAGTAACCACAGGACCACATTGCCATCAGCATAAGACCAGCACACAGTGTGACAGTGAGAGATTGTGTACCACAGACTAGACCTCACCCCTGGAGTGCTCGGTGTTTGGGTCCATCACCAGTTTACAGTATTTGATGCCTCCAAACTGCAGAAACAGTTCCTCCACATCCTCTTCCAGGGAGTCATACGAAAGGTTCCTGGAGAAGGGGATATTTCAGCTAAGAGTTAGACACACATTTTTGTCATAATCACAAATGTATGTTTACCTTTGCAGAAGAAAAATATACAATGTATATTTATAAAAATTATATAGAGGGTAGCTGAACTTTCGTTGTGTGTTTTTGTATAGATATTTTGTCAAAAAAGTATGTATATTTATGTTTACTTTCGCAGAAGGAAAATATATAGTTTTTGCTCTGTTTCCTCCTCTTCTTCCTTCTCTCAAACACATGTATCAATGGCTTGGACTAGATGTCTGTCACCATGGTAACTGGTGCTGCAGCAGACACCCTGTGGTGTTGGGTTACATTATGTAGCAGGACAGAGTTTCTACCCTAACATATATTGTATATATACACCTGAACACAAGATGGCATATGCCACCTCAAACCTTACCTGATGAAAACAGTCTTGCCCTGCTGGACATCTGTGCTTTCTCTGAAGGGCTTGGGGGTCTTGGATTTCTTGTCTACTAAAAAGAAGAACAGGGAAAAAGAATTATAGCAGCATTACATCATATAAGATATCATAAAAAAGTTCTTAGGACAGAAATTTTGACAGTCTTCTTTTTTTCTCAAAACAAATAAAGTCAATGACCTGGGCCAGATGACTGTCACCATGATATATCGTACATGCAACTTGTGCTGTAGCAGATTATATTATGTAGCAAGTTGAAGTATCAGTACAGAGTTGGAGCTGCTGGTCACCATATAGAAGTAGATATACATGAATGTGTTCAATCAGTCAAAACATCACCCACCTTTTTCATCATCTTCATCATCAGAAAAATCATCACTATCCTCCTCCTCCTCCTCCTCCTCATCTTCTTCACCATCATCTTCACTATCATCATCATCATCATCCTCACTGCCATCCTCCTCCTGTTCTTCTCCTGTCTCCTCTTCCTCCTCTGTACCACTGTCATCATCATCATCATCGTCATCATCACCTGAGTCTCCATCCTCTGGTTCCTGTCTGTCTGCAGCTGTTTTTGCTGACTCGTATCTATTTTTTGCCACAGCATAGTCCACAGCAACGGGCCTTCCTGGAAGGAGAAAAGAACAATCAACCATATAGCAAATGTTGGCGAGACATCCAGATAATGAGAAAGCAGGATACAAGAGTTTTCTTTTACTTTTACCAGACTATTTACCTTGCTGACGTTTCGGTGTCTATCAGACACGTTCCTCAGAGCTTCTGACTGGAGTTCTGCTTCTCACCGCTATATGTAGCCGATGTAGGTGGCGCTTTTGCAAGAACGCAATCCAAATGTGGCTTAGTTTGTATCAGGTTTGACATCTTGAAAAGGTGATAGTCACCTGTTATGTCAATCCTTCCACAAACATATTAAATCTTAATACCAAACAAACAAATAAATAGATCCCACCCACCGTGTAGAGGTTTGCTGTTCATCTCTGCCACGGCTTTGGCAGCCTCAAACACACTGGTGAACTGGACAAACCCAAAACCTCGCTTCTTCCCTCCTGTAATAGACACAAAAGTCACTCTTATCATTGTGAACTAATACTAGTACTTCAAAAAGTACTTCAAATAATATGACTGGTGTACAACATATCATGAACAAACTATCATGCAAATCTATGGCTCTCTCCAACCATTACAAATACAGACATAGAAATGGCCAGCACTGCTGATAAAGAACAAAGTCACCTACCTTGTACAGTGGGTATGTGAACATCTGTGATCTCTCCATACTGCTCAAAAGTTTTCCTGAGATCTTCCTTGCTACACTGGAGGGGGAAAATATGCATTCTATGTTTAAAAACTTACAACAAAATGTACTCTCTATAAATTAGTACAAAACATCTGACAACACTATCTCACAGATCTATTGTGTTTTCTTATAAGGAGAGTATTATTACTTTCTGTAATTCTGGAGATATGTCAGTTATTTACAATATGGTGTCGCTTTTGTAGTGATTCAGATATGAATTTTCCAACCTACACTGATATCTGAGTAGGGCATGAAAGGAGCATATTGAAGATATCTGGTTTACTGATTGAAGTGATCTTCCACAAACCTTGAAGGACAAGTTCCTGACGATGATCCTGGACTTCTTGAGAGATTTCTTAGATGGAGTCTTGTTGTCCTTAGACTGTAGAACAGCCTTGAGTGCTGACTTTTTAACCTTTAATGACCCGAGTGCAGGTAGAGCCTTCCTGGCCAGAGTGTTGGAGGAGAATCTGACCAGTGCGGAAGGTTGGTCTGTATCTGGGGCTGGGAACGTTACCTCTTCTACTCCCTCATACTTACTGCAGTAAAAAAAAATGGGGTGTTATCATGAAAGTTCATCTGTGTTGGTGGTAATCATAGTAAAATGTTGAACTTTATTCCAACACAAGGGTTACACAGAGAATCAGATCAACGTTTCAATGACTACTGTCATACCACAGTCTTATTCATACTTAAGTTAGAATACCGGACACTGAGGAAGGGTCAGACAAAATGAAACAAAGACACAGAATGATGATGATTGAAGTCCTTACAAATCCATAAGCATATAATTCTATGTTGAATGTTCTCAGACTTCCCTAAAAACATTCTGTGATATATAAGCTCAGTAGTCATGACTTTGAGTTGCAGAGTATCGGTGATCACTATGGTATAGTACACACCAGGTACACCAGAGGCCCTACTGAAAGACTTACACAATGTCATGTTTGACCTTACCTGACCAGTTTCTGTATCTTCTCCTCCTTGACCTTGGCCGGCAGGTTCTTTAAGACGATAACCCTGCCGGCTGTGCTGTGTTCTACTCGCCTCTTCTTCTTGTCTGGTGGGGCTACAAGTAGAACAATACAAGTTACTAGTAGTACCTTTAGTAGCTATAGATACATCTGGTTTAGTTACCAGTAGCGTGAAGCAGGGCTTTAGCTAGCTCTGAATTTTTTTGTCATCCCAGGTTCAGGCATAGATGTGGTAGGAGAGTACTTGCAATCTAGGGGGACCAGAGGCAAATTTTAGATTTTCAAGCATTTAAAATCACAATTTCCCACAGTGTTAGTGATGATCCTTAGGATGTGTTTTTATATTTTCCCCAAGATTTTTGTCATTTTTAATAAAATACTAAGTCTTAGTCTTGGTTGTGTGAAAAGAGTCTCTATATTCTGCAACTTACCAATCTGATGAAACTATTCATGGACAGAACTGTTTAATCACCTTAACCAAAATCTACAAACCTTCTGGACTGGATGTCTGTTTATCCTCTCCCTCCTGTTCAGTCTGTTCCTCCTTTTTTCTCTTCTTGGGTTTCTTGTCTGCAAACGACACAAGGACCTTCCTCCCCTGGACCATTACTGGCTGGGCTCGAGCCTTCACTGCATCCTCTCTGGGAGACATTGTAGGAAAAACAATATATTTCATCCATACATATCAGGGCTGGAAATACTGGGTGCATGTGCACCTTAGGCACCCAAATTTGCAGCTGTGCACCCAACTGCTTTTCTGTAGGTGCACCAGTGCACCCAAATATTGTCGTAGGTTTATGTATGAAAAGATGTTAAATTTATCGAATTTATAGTAGTGATGTTCGACCACCGTAGTCGATGATGACCCGAAATATAGTATGCTGCATATTATTAACATCTAAGTGACAGAAAAAAAACATTGTTATAGTATTTTTCTTTATTTAGCATTTACTTATGTGCAAATAAAGAATACAAATACAAGATTCCATGTTGATGTAAGACTGAGGAAACTTACCGCAGGGCAAATGTGACGAATCCAAACCCTCTGCATTTGTCAGTCACACCTGAAGGAGGGAACAGGGGAGTTTGATTTCATTCTGAGGCACAGTTTTCATTGTAGCTACATGTATTGCACAAACCTGCATAACACACTAAAAATCATTCTAAAACCATACATAATATGGTCTTTTCATTAAACTGATTCTAGACGTTTATAACAACCAAACTTGATACTTTATACGCCCTAGGAGAGAAGCAATAATCATCTAATTTGAACTTCATTGTCCTATAAGCACAGGTGTAAAGGCTACTAGGGATACAAACTCCTTGGAAGTGACAAATATATAAACTTCAAATCGCCCAAATGGACGTACTATAGCTATATAGAAACCCACGTGTTGACTTGCACCTCATGTGGAACTTGCTCAAACTTAAATAGCGCTCAAAACTTCACCATAATTTCTCCTAAACCTTCGCATAATGACACAAACCTGGCTCTCTGACGACGAAACATTCCTTGATCGGCCCCGCGTCGCTGAAGATCTCCTCTAACGTGCCGTTAGTGGCGGTAAAAGGAAGGTTTCGCACGAAAAGTGTTCTGCTAGATTTTTCGTCGGAGTCTGCCATGTTTTTTCTCAGCTGTAGGTCAAAGGTGAGCGGGATATTCTATTAGCGTTTTAGGTGAGCGCTGTGAAACTAATGTCGCGGATGTTTTACATCAAATGATCATAAAAATGTGAGAAAACTTGGTGTTTTTATCTTCTTAGTTTGAGACACGTGAAAAACAATGTTTTTGTAGTGAAAATAATATAACGGAACGTCCCCTATTTATAAGTTCATGACCTTGAAAATCTCGCGGAGTTGCCAGCTCTCGCGAGACTTCTCGAGAATAGGACGATCGTGAGAAAAAAAATGGACGGACGGACACTCAGATTCAGAACTTTGTGAAATTTTGTCCGGAATTTCGCCCCCAAAATGGACTTAGAAGACGACAAAGGCTCGTCTATAGAAGAAGGGGAGGTTCTAGAAGAAGGTGAGATCGACGATGACGAGGAAAATGTCGAGAGGACGGTGTCTTTTCTCGGGAACGCAGACGGTTTCGGGTTGCCGCCCGATGGCGAGTTCCCCCCCGGCCCGCTGAGGGTGGACTTCCGTCGGGACCGGGGTCGCTACGGTCCTCCCCGCGGGGCCTCGGGCTTCCTGCCGCCGCCGAGGGACCAGCCGGACTCGCCCGGGGAGTGGCGCTTTCGGGATCTGTTGAGCAGAAGAGGCCGAGGGTTCGCGCCCGAGGGCGTCAGCTTCCACGGGGCCATGAACCTTCCTGGTGGGAACCTCGGGTAGGTCACTGTGCAGTCCATCTGGAACTAATCAGCTAAGGAATTTCTGATCTCTGTAACGTTGTTTTTTTTTAGACAGGACAAAACTACAGAACATCTTCTAAAACTTTTGAAATACAGAAAAAAAAGCAGCCAACATATACAAAAAAGTTGTAATGTAAGCACAAATATATATCCTCCTACAAGTGTACAATCAAGGACATTACCGACATATAAATTTGGAACATAATGGTAGATGGATACGAGAAAATATATTTTAGTTGGATAATGATGACTAGTAAATTGCCAAAAGACTGATTGAGTGAGTTATTCAAGGATTCGAAGATTTCCTGTAATGTTATTTTAACATTATGTTTAACAGATTACAGGTCACATCATCTGTTTGGCATATGCAAATTTTTCTAGGCTAATCAGTTTCAGATTATCTGTAGTTATCTGTATCTGGTGGTCTAGCACCCTTCAGCATAACATGTCAACATTCTGCACATGTATTTACTCTGATTGCTTGAACCAAGGCAGATTGAGCCTCCTTGCTTGAACTAAACCATACCGCATACGCATCAGTTTTTGTTTTCACAGCAAATGTCTTCATTCATATAACACCATACATGTATTCTGATTTCCAGCCCCCCTCCCCACCACATGGGCAAAGGAAAGGTCTTCCGAGGTCGCGGGCGGGGTCAGGGGTCGCAGCGAGGCGGCCGGGGTCAGGGGTCACAGCGGGGCGGCCGGGGTGGCGGCAGGGGCGGTCAGAAGAACTTTGACCCTCTGCGTGAACCCAGGGAACCAACAAGGAGGAGCTCTCGTATCCTTGAAAAACTTTTTTAACATCCAACTCCAAGGAAGCTCATTATAATATATACTTGTATACATTGTTCCTGTGTTTTGCACTAAATGTCGTCTACTACACATGTCAATGTTAAAAGTTCTAACTCTTAAAGCATTACTGAAATGTGACAAAGATGTATATATATGTATGTACCGGTACTAAAGTGATTGGGTATTTTGGACCTCTAGACTAGCTACCTAGTCAATTTTTGCGGTACTGTACTGGCACACACAACAGGTATAATGTATATATGTAGCTCTACTGCAAGAGGTATGAACTATGAATTGATGTTGTCAGGTTATTTACTTAGTAGTACTTTATTAACACATGGGAGACACTTGCAACAAACAGAAAAATCTGGAGAGAGGAAGTTAAGAAAGGCTTATACGGAGGTAGGGGGGGGGGATAAGAAAAGCTGTGACGGAGACGTTCTAAGCACAAAACCAAGAATCAGTACATTGTGTAGAAGTTCTTTTATGGTCTTGTAAGACCGACGAAATGCCTACCTAGTACTTGAGTATTTGGTGCAGAATCCTTGACTATACCACCAGGTCTGCGGAACCGCCCAGACCAGCCCCTCCATGAGGCGGAACCCTGGCTGCCCTGGATGAAAAAATACTTCAACAAACAACCCAACAATCCCAACATGCTTCCCACCGTGACCCCGCGGGACGTTTCCATGACGATATCGTCCATGTCGTCGTTAGGGCTGGGTGCTAACGAGGGGGCGGTTCGTCGACAGGAACAGGCAGGGGACACGGAACAGTACAGCGACCTGCTGCAGAACTACAGACGCATCAGGTCACAGCTAGAGGAGATAGAACGGTAATGTTTTTTAACCCTTTATTGTTGTTTCTTAAAAAAGATGCATGTTTTTAAATTAATCTTTATTTAAAATTTAAATTCATAAATCAAAAGAAAATATATTATACACTTAAAAAAGATCTGTATCTGTATAGCTGGTATAACCGCCCTTCAACGTAAAACACCAGGTGTTTGTATACATTTGTGTTTTCTGAGCAATAGAATATAAGATTTTTTTTTGTATGTGCTTTCTTACAATGGATAGACCATAGTCATGTAGTAAATGCTATGTACTAAATGCTATACTCTAAAGTACAGTCGTTTTGCTACCAATTCAAAATCTGTAGATCTATTGGTTAGGGTTTTACTTTTAGGCAGCAAGGTGATTTACATGTAGGTGATTGAAAGATTGATTGATTAACTGACAGGAAAGAGAAGCTTGAGAAGATGGGTATCCGTGAGTGGGATCTGGATAAGTACACTCGCGAGGAGAAAACCTCCAGGGACACCAGCCCTAAGGACGAGGGTCAGGAGTCAAAGGGCAAGCGCAGGTCAAGGTCCAGGTCGAAGTCAGGATCGAGCAAGGCGAGCTCTAAAGCCGACACCAAACATGAAGCAGATACACAACAGGAGAAAAAGGTGGGTGGAAAGTAGCTATCCAGGTCAGTCCAATGTGACCAGTGTAATCTGAGTCTTTGTTGCCATAGTAATGAAATATGATACCATGTTGCCATGGTTACATGACCCGTGTTGCCATAGTTAGTTACATGACCCATCTGTTTCCATGGTAACATGAACCATCTGTTGCCACAGTTACATGGCCCATGTTGCCATGGTTACCTGACCTGTGTTACCATGGTTACCTGACCCGTGTTGCCATGGTTACCTGACCCATTTTACCATGGTTACAGGCAGCTGAAGGCTCAGATGATGATGATGAGGAGTTGATGGAGCTGCAGCTGCGTCTGATCGCGCTGGAGTCGGCCGCGAAGGCTCGGCGGGACAGGACAGACACCGAGGACGGGCAGGACGACGGGACGGAGCCTTCTCCCCAGGGCAGGGAGACGACCTTCAAACCTGACCAGGACAAGGTCACGGCCAGCAGCCAACCTGGGGGGAGTCCACCCAAGAAAAGTCAGTCAACTACTGATAATATCTAAATATCTGCTATTAAAGTGGTGTTAACAGTTTGTTTTTAAAGTCTGCTAATTGGAGGTACAACTGTTGTATTTGCTCTCTCCCATCTTGTTTGTCATGCAGCACATCTTGCACGGCCTGGACACTTTATATTGCAGCACAGAGTTAAATTTTTTTCTTTGCCCTACAGGTGTGACAAAGAGCAGTGGGAGGAAACCACACCCCTCCAAACCCCCTGCCATAGCCTCGCGCCAGCCTGCCCATTCTCCCTTTAATATCTACAGGTAACTTAATGTTCTAACTATTCATAATGCTCCAAGACCGCAGTAGTATAGGTTTTCAACTACACAGTATTGTATAAAGTCTCACTAGAGATTGCCAATAAGAAAGAAAAAAAGATACTCAGAACTGGCTGGAAGTAAACTTGGAGAGGCACTACACTCCCTGGAGCATGCGGTGCAGAGTAAGTGAGTGAGTGAATGAGTTAGAGACTGAGTGAGTGGGCGAGTGAGTGAGTGAGAGTAATCCGTACCCACAGACCCTAATTTTTTAGGACTGAAACAGGAAACACATTTGTCATTATTTTTTGCCAATGCCTACCAGGGACCCAGGTAGACAGGCCAGATCGAAGCGTAAACGCGGCCGCCCGAGCAAACGGAAGCGGGACGAGCTGCGGATGCTGCAGCAGCTGGAGGAGGAGGAGGAACGAGAGAGGACGCGACGGACCGAAGCAGCCCGCATCCGTAACCTTGGCAACCACGCAGAGCAGTACAAACGCTTCATGGAGTTTGTGACGGAGGCTCGGGATGGCAGTCCTCATGTGAGTTGTTTTACTGTTTCAAAGTCCTCCATTACTATTAGTGGCAGTACATATATACGTATACACTACTCCTGGAGTCTTATCTTAAGTAAGATATACATAATATGCACATAAGATCAAGAATTATGCCGTACACATTACATTAAATTTGAGTACACAATATACAATGCTTCATATAGTAAATCATTCTTCAATTTACCAGTTGTATAAACATGTAACCCTGTTTGTGTTTGCACTTTCAGTCTGTCTTTGATGAGTGTTTTAAATGTAGACGGTACATGACTGATTGTTCTGAGGTGATCTGGAAGACTTCTGTTCAATTCAATCTATGTTAAAACAACTTGCAGACATGTGTCTGAATTGTGTTGTTCTTAGCAACAGTAGGCACTTCATCTATTCTCATCTAATTCAATATGCACTAATGATGATAATCTAAAATCTAATCTGTAACAAGTGTATTGTATGCTATTCTCCCAGCCGAAGCAGGAAGAAGAGCGTCGTCGGCGTTCCCGTTCAGCCGAGAGTTCCACCCGCCCCCCGTCTGCTGCCCCCCTCCCCACTGACCTGCAGGATAACTATGAGGAGGTCTCCATGGATGTGGACAGTAACGACGAGTCTCCAGGTAGTCACGTTGTTATTGTCTTTGTCTAGTAATATCTCACTAGACGTGGTCTCTTGGTGCCGGTTTGCGCACAGTACATATAGGGTCAATTGTGTCTCTAGGTATATTGTATTTAACATTTGGTGCCTAAAGTCATGTCATACCTAACTATCTTCTTGCATAATGTAGTCCAGAGCTTGAAATTAATTTTTGGGAATAAGGTGCTCTAACCTAAAAAAAATTGGGTACAAAAAAAGATTTTTTGGTTCACCCATAATCTTAAACAAGTACTACATTAACTGTTACAACTCAAGAATATGCTGTATACTAGTATACATTTCATATCTTGTACATACGTAACTCACTCACTTTATGACTTACTCACTCTCTCCCATACAGCTTAGTCCGCCATTGGGGCAGCATAATGTTTGGCAAAGGTTTTCCACTGCTATATGACATTGTATAATAAATAAAAATGTTGTGCAGTGTTTGAAAGTTTTCTTGCTGGTCACTTATCAGTTATCAATCGATACTACGTACAGTACATGTAACCCCATACCCAATACAGGATCGTTAGCCTAACAGCTATTCCAGTATGCTAACGAGACTTTGTTCCTTTTTATCCAAAGGTGTGCTGAAGAAAGAAGCGTTCCTGTTCCCAGGACTCCCCCCCGACCTGCCCTTCGTACCCCCCCTGCCGCTGGAGGCCCCCCCGGAACTACCCCCTCCTCCTGAGGTGAGGCCTATTAAAAAAAGGTGTTGTGTTTACTGTTTCAGTCCTGAAAAAAATTAAGGTCGGTAGCTACGTAGGTACAGAACTGATGATCTTTTTTGTCTTATTAGAATTTGGTGATCTCTAGCAATCCAAAAAAGTTCATAGTCTGAGAAAAATGGACATGTTAACGGAATTATACGTTCACGGTGGCGACAGGTACAGAAGAAAGGGAGTCAGTGAATCATTTGTTAACAGTAATGATAACTTTGCAGTACAGAAGTGACCACAAAAACTGCTTTCTCTGCTTAGCACTCAGCATTCGAGAAAGAGTATGTCAGTTAAACACACACCGCTACCAGTGGACTAGCCCCCTGCTGTAGTGGCCTGTGTGTATGGGAGTTGGGAGTTAAACACACACCACTACCAGTGGACTAGCCCCCTGCTGTAGTGGCCTGTGTGTATGGGAGTTGGGAGTTAAACACACACCACTACCAGTGGACTAGCCCCCTGCTGTAGTGATTGCACGACTGTGTGGCCCAAGGGCTACAAAACGGAGATGGGCGCCACCATATGTGACCATGCTAATGGTTGCGGGAAGGACTTTAACTTTACCTGAATCTGTTCTCCAGCCCTCAGATGTAACAGGTGGAGAAAAACCAGGTGAGGAGGAAGATGAAGATGATGATGATGAAGACTTGGAGGCCCTGAGAGGAGAAGTCTTAAGATCTCTGGCCAGCAGAAGGGCTCGGAAGGAGGTGAGAAGGACTTCTAAGAATAATTTCATCTGTGTTTTGACTTCATATCTGTTGTTAGAATTTCAGTGATTTACTAACTGGTAAATCACCTTTAAGCACAACACACCATCTAAAGTACAAGCTATGTGCATGTAAGCAGGAGTTGGGTAGATTTTCTGACATCTCAGTGCATTCCCCAATGTACATGTAGTCGTTAGTTTATTAGTAGTACACTGGTTTAATAGTTCTTATCAGCAAAAAGATATACAAGCCTCCTGGCAGCCATTATTGGAGGGCTGAATTGTTAGGCTATTTACAAAAGTATCAGCCTATAAAATACACAATTACATGTAAATTTGGTCGTCATTTAGCAAACAACTGTAAAATTCACTTACTCCACATTAAATCCCACCAAATCTTCAGGACGTGGTGACGTTCCTTAAGACGTCCAGTCCAAGAGAAGGTTCCCCGTTTGAGGGTAACTCACCGAGCAGAGACGGCCAGCTGACACAGCCCTCCAGTTATACAGTCAGGAGACAACAACAAACCAGGGGGCCACAGCCCATTCACATGGTCAGTACTGCTGTATATATTTACCTTTACAGGAGGAAAATATGTTTAAATTCTGTATCCGTATCTGTATACTATTAGCCGGTATAACTGCCCTTTGGCGTAACACTAACACACCAGCTTCGTAGGCATGCCGTGCGGCGGCAGCTGGCTACATAACGCCGAACCACTTGTTACACCTAACCCTCGAGCATATAACTCTAAACATTGTTTAAAGCTATTTACTAATATACTGTTACAGTACTAGTCTTGGTGAAAGCGAGTTCCACTCTGTGATAGTTCTAGGAATGAGTTTTTGAACACCTCAATCCTTGGCTACATGTATTTCTTGTTCTTTTCAGGGCTGGTATTAGGTACTTAGTGAAAACCTTCTTTGTGTTGGACTAAAGTTCAATGTTTTAGTATGTGTTGAATGTTTCCCAATCATGAATCTGTTGTGCTTTCCCAGATCCCTGTGCACGGTCCCGTTGTGTTCAACCTTGGGGAGGACTCTGATGAGAGTGAAGAGGAGGAGGGGGCGAAGTCTGCCGGATCATCGTGGCTGGACGACATGCTGAAGGCTGCGAGAAGAGACGCTGATGTGAGTGTAGAATTTAGAAAATTATTTTTGTTGACAAAAAAGTTTGAGTTGCAAAGCCATGCCCGAGGGCTAGTGTAGCGGTTAGAGTGGAAAAACTGTTAGCATTTTTCAGTTAGTAGAATATTCCGCAATAAGTGACGTTTTTATAAAGGTAAATACAAGTACCTCCAAATTTTCGATAACATTGGACAGCAAACTGGAACATTTTTATGTTTACCTCCACAATATGTACATGTAGATCTAACAAAGGATGACATGATCTTACATATAATGGCTTCAGTTAACCATAATGTATAGGAAAAACTCTGTAAATTTGTCTACAAGTACAAATGTCTCAAGAAGAGAGAAGAAGATATAGATAGTTGATAGCACTATACGTCTTCCTGTTGTTTAGTTGTAACTACATGTAACATACTGCATTTAGCTCCCTTTTGAATATGCAATAGACTTCATTGTCATTGTTATTAACTTTGTAATTACACCACAATGTTGTTCCAGGCTGCTAAAGCTAAGCCCAGCCCCCCTCCCCAGACTCAGAAGGCCCCTCCGGTTTTTGTGATTTGTTGACTGACGTTTGTTCTGTTCATGACTGCTTTTTTCCCATGTTTGTAATTTGACAACAATGTTGTTCCAGGCTGCCAAAGCTAAACCCAGCCCCCCTCCCCAGACTCAGAAGGCCCCTCCTGTGCCAAAGACTCCCGAGGCTCTGGTGAAACTTGACCTGGAGAAACAACAGGAGTACCGCAGACTGAAGGAGGAGATCGCTCGCAGGGAGAGGACAAGGCTGGAAGGTGAGGTTTCTTTTCTTTGAACCTTCACTAGTGAAAACATCAATGACTTTTTATTGCTCGTCCTAGATTCCGTTCTGATACAATATATCAGTTGCCTGGAAGGTGAAGAAGTTGTTCACACTTTGGGCCACACCAGTTTGATTTCTTGGTTCTCAGATTTTTTTTCAGAAAAAATATGAAGTGACAGGGCGAAAATATAACTCGTATTTTGGAGTTGATTCAATGGTTTTTTTTTTTTGCAAATCAGAAAAAAATAAAGCAGGCAATCTGTGAACCAACCAACAAATTAAATTGGTGTGGCCTAAGGACTGGAAACATTGGGTGCATATGCACTTTTTTTCACCCATTGGTAACAAAAGCAAATACATATTCTAAAGTACTAACAAACTTCAGGAAATCTCACATAATTCCCCCCTCCCTCCAGCAGGCTCTCAGCCCTCCAGTGCTGCTGCGTCTCCTTCTGTTTCTGACGTCGAGACTCGTGATGACGACACGAGTCTTAAAGACACCACGCCGCAGGAGGAACAAACTCCTCAAGACAAGCCACAACTTCAAGACATCAGTCTTCCCAAGAACTCTGACTCAGCACCTGGAGAGGTTAAGGAGACAGAAGAGAAAGGAGAAGACCTGTCTAAGGAGGAAGAGTTAAGACAGCGGCTTCTTGAGAAAAATGTTGCAGACTGGGAAGGGAGAGTGGAAAAACACAGGTAAGAACTTACATATCAAAACTATACATTCACGTGAAGTTTGTTTTAATCATTATGTCTGAGACATTGAGTTTGTATGGCCTTCCAAAAGTGCATTTACCAAAGCAAGCTTCACAATCGCCCTCAATGGGCATCTCTTTTTGCATCTCTACATTTTATTTTTACATTTCTGTATTTTTTCCTGAGCTGATGTCACTGGGTCTCCGTGACGTCAGCTCAGGAAAAAATACAGAAATGCAAAAATAAAATGTAGAGATGCAAATAATCTGCCAGGATTGCCTTGTGGTGACTTTTCCGAGGAGGGGCATTGAAATTTGCAATGTACAATGTTACAGAACCATGTATATTTACTGTAGTCTGTTAGCCGGGTAACTAGTTATGTCAACTACAATCAGATTTTGGTGTCATGCGCACTTTAAATTGACCCTGTAATGGTTACCTCCACAGTGATTCCGTGAGGAAAGACCAGCGGCTTCTGGCTGAACTCTCCAGACAGGTCAGCATCAAGGAGGGCACCGTCAGGTCAGCAGAGGTCAAAGTGCAGAAGCTAAAGGTCAGGGCAAAGTTCATCTGTAACCTTAGGATTTTATAGAGACTGTTTGATTCACTGTACAAGTAAGGAGAAAATTCTTGCATGGATATGAAATCTGGAAATATAAAGTTAATATTTTAAATATGATATTATCAGAAATAGGATAGTAATTCTTTAGGGTAGTCCATGTAAACCAATCATTTTGTATGAGTACATGTATTTGCTTTTTGTACATGTATATTGGACCATTAGATGCAATAAGTTACTGATAATTATAGATGATTACTGTAATTACTGATTTTTTAACGATACTGATATGTTCACGGTTTTCACGGTCACTTCTGTACCGTGAATTCATCAATACCGCTAACACTAATTCGTCTTTCGCCCCCCTCCCCCTTCCCCGTTAGCGCTAGAACTTACGATACATTACCACACCATACAGAACCTCATACATCTCACAGCATGCTACACACAGACGCTGCTACAATAACAACTAAAACACAAATGCTTTTCAAGAAATAAATTCTTTATTCAGGAAGCACAAGATTGTGTCATATTTTGTCTTACTTTAATTACGTAAAACTAGTACTAGTACGTGTAGGTCAACGCTACACACAAACATTA